GAAAGCTCCCCTGGCTTGAACCCCATTCCCTCCCTCCTCTCCTCCCCTCTGCACCCCTCTTCCTTGGCATGCCCACTGCTCGCTCTCTCTCGCTCCCCTTCTCCTCTTGGCAAATGGCGAGTGGCCCGCTGCAGCCCTGCTGTGGCTGGTAACAGAGAGGGTGCGTGTCCTGCAGGTGAGCTCCCTGCAGTGGGCGGCCTGGCATTGCAGGATGGCAGGGACCCCGGGCCCTGCTGACTCAGGTGGCACGAAGGCCTCCACCCCGGGACACTGCCTCCTTCCCGGCTGTGCCCTGGGCTCTTCAGATCCTAGATCCCTTAGGGTGCAAAGAGCGTCAGAGGTTTCTGCAGCTGGTTCTGCGACAGCCATGGCCCAGGGGCCCGGGTTTTCCCAATACCCGTTCCGGGCCCCTTACCCTGCGGCACAGGCTACCTGGGGTGAGCCAGGGAGCCGAGGCCCACGGCCAGGCCAGCAGTGAGGAGGCAAGGCTGAGCCCCAGACAGCCAGCCCCCGGTCGTCCTGAGCTACGGGGAGCCCCAAGGGCCGCGTTGCTGCTGTGGGTCTAGGCACATAGGCAAGGCCACTGGGACCGTCTCTGCATCACAGAGCTCAGCAGCCTGGGGGCAGGGCCTACAGGGCGGCCGTGTGCCGCTGTTCAGGTCACTGTGGCCACATCGAAAGCCGGCGTGCACGGCGAGGCGACTTCTGTCACTAGTAAGGGGGGTGGGTCGGCGAGGCCTTTTGTCACTAGACCTGTAGTGTTACGCTCGGCCCTGCATGTCTTGGTCACCAGCGCCCTTTGAGGTCTTTTTGTTTCCGCGCTTTCCGATAAAAGAGGGTCATTGTGTGCCTGTGGTCTGTGGTGCCACGAAGGTGACCTGGCATGTGGGTGTGTGTGCAGGTGTGCGTGCATGGGCGTGTGCAGGTGTGTGTGCACAGGCATGTACAGGTAGGTGTGTGTGCAGGTGTGCGTGCATGTGCATGTGCATGGGTGTTTGCAGACGTGTGTGCATAGGCATGTGCAGGTATGTGTGCATGGCTTTGTGCAGGTGTGTGTGCAGGTATGTGTGCATGGGTGTGTGTACGTGCGTGTGTGCAGGTGTGCATGGGCGTGTGCAGGTGTGTTTGCATGGGCGTGTGCAGGTGTGTGTGCAGGTGTGCATGGGCGTGTGCAGGTGTGTGTGCAGGTGTGTGTGCAGGTGTGTTTGCATGGGCGTGTGCAGGCATGCATCCCTGCCACACTCAGCCTCGCTCATGGACCTCTCCTGCCCCCAGGTCTGAGCACGGTGGCTCCCCCGATTCACCCCGGACCCTCGGTTCCTCCCGCCGTCATCCCTCTGCCCCCCGGGACCCACTTGCTCTTTGCCCAGACGGGGAAGATCGAGCGCCTCCCGCTGGAGGGCAGCACCATGAAGAAGACGGAGGCCAAGGCGCTGCTGCACGCTCCGGTGAGTGCTGGTTCCTCACACCCGAGGACACGGGGTGACCTGGGGACCCAGCGGGCATGGTCAGCCCGCCTCTCGGAGGAGCCTGGCCCGGCCGCGCACTGGCTTGCCCTGGCTCCTTGTCCAGTTTGTTGCGTCGACTCGTCAGTGTGTGCGTCTGCATAGGCGTGTGCCTTCCCACCAGGGACACAAAACCGTCTGATGTGCAGGGGTCCGGTCCACAGTGGGTTCCCAACACGGTGCTGGGCGCTCACGGTGTTTGCTAACGCGTGTGAGTGATGGAGGCGTTCGCCTCGGCCTCCTGAAACATGCCCCCGGGGCCGCCGCCCTCCCCGGGTGGCCACCAGCACACCCTCCAGTGACAGGGTCCCCCCCCCCCACACCCCCTGTCTCGGGTCACTCAGATGCTGCTGGGTGGACTCCTCTCACCCTGGTCTGCGCTTCCAGGACAAAGTCATCATCGGCCTGGCCTTCGACTGCGTGGACAAGATGGTCTACTGGACCGACATCGGCGAGCCTTCCATCGGGAGAGCCAGCCTGCATGGCGGGGAGCCGGCCACCATCATTCGACAAGGTGGGCGTGCTTCCTTCTGGGTGTGGCTTCAGGCAATGAAATTCCTTACCTTACAGGTGCTGGTGCCAGCCAAGGACCGTATGCGTAGTCAAGACTATTGTACATGGTTGTATTTTACCAACATTGAACACCATTAGCCCGGCCGGCGTGGCTCAGGGGTTGAGCGCTGACCTGTGAACCAGGAGGTCACGGTTCGATTCCCGGTCAGGGCACATGCCCGGGTTGCAGGCTCGATCCCCAGTGGAGGGCGTGCAGGAGGCAGCCGATCAGTGATTCTCTCTCATCATTGATGTTTCTCTCTCTCTCTCTCTCCCTCTCCCTTCCTCTCTGAAATCAATAAAAATATATATATTTTTTTAAAATGATGATTACAACAAAAATACAACGACTCTAAAAGTCCTCCTGTACTGGGGAGGGCAGCCGATTCCCAGAGACTTTCAGTCCAGGGACGCGGTCCGGCTGGTGGTGGCCGCTGTATAAACCCTCTCTCTTCCTCCGCAAAACGCTCAAATCAAAGACAGGCCTTTAGAAGCCACACGCTCGTTAGGAATTCTCTTCACTTGGGGCCGAATGTCGCTTTCCCAGTTTCCCGTTGAACGTTTCCCTCGTAATTGCTGCTCTGGGGGCGCCTCTGCCTGTGGGACAGCCCGGGGCATCGGCTCCCTTGGCAGAGGGAACTCAGCTGAGGCTGAGACGAATGTGCTACTTAAACAACACGTGCTCGTTTGCCTGGCTTGGTTCAAGGAACAGACGTTTGCAAGCGTCCTTCCGCATCCCGTCTCTCTCTCTCTCTCAAACATGTGGCTGCTGTTCTCTGTGATGTGACTTCAAAACCCAGTGGGAGGGGGCAGGTCATCGCTGCTATTTCCTGTTGCCCCTGGGACTGGGGATCTGCCAAGAATGCAGCGAGCCGCCCCAGGCAGAAGCCCACTGTGCGAACAGAACTAAACTAGAACGTGAACTTTGCAGAGGAAGGGACTGGGTCTCTTTATTTCAATAGAGAGAAAGGGATTCGCTGAAGTCTGCATCAGGGTCCCAGGCGGCACCTCCCTAGTGAGTGAGCATGGCGGCGGCCTCTCTTCTTCTTTTTTAATATATTTTTATTGATTTCAGAGAGGAAGGGAGAGAGAGAAACATCAATGACGAGAGAATCACTGATCAGCTGCCTCCTGCACGCCCCATACTGGGGACTGAACTCACAACCCGGGCATGGGCCCTGACCGGGAATCGAACCCTGACCTCCTGGTTCATAGGTTGACGCTCAACCACTGAGCCACGCCAGCCAGGCCTGTCTTCCTTTAGACCTATGTCTGGTCCCACAGCCTGGAAACCTTTGCCTGACAGACTCCTGTTGGTCCTTCAGGAGCCAGCGTCGCGCATGTCACCTCCCTCGGGAATCCCGGCCCGGTCTCCCCGGCCGAGTCCCTCCCCAAGCTCCCCAAGAACCCGGGGCCTCGGGCTGAGTTGGCAGTGGGCTCCCTGTTGGTGGGGCCAAAGCTTCGGACCTGGACGCCCACAGAGGGGATGTGTGGCATTTAATCGGTTGCACGTCACATTCCTGTTTGTTGTCTCCACGTGCAAGGATTGGCCGCATGTGAAACAGCCCCACGGGGCCAGGAACCCCGATGCTCACCGGCTTCGCCAATCAGACGTGCTCTGCCTTTGCCCCCAGGTCTCGGGAGCCCCGAAGGCCTCGCCGTGGACCATCTCGGCCGCAACCTCTTCTGGACGGACTCTCGCCTGGACCGCATAGAGGTGGCGAAGCTGGACGGCACCCAGCGCCGGGTGCTGTTCGACACGGATCTGGTGAATCCCAGAGGCATCGCGACGGACCCCGTGAGAGGGTAGCGTGTGTCCGTCTGCGTGTGCGTCTGCTGTCCGTGCGTCTGTCCTTCGGGGTGCTCTCCATGGGGGGGCTCGAAGGCCAGCCCCGCCTCCTGCAGTGCACGCCCCCAGCTGGTGGCGATGGGTGTCCGCAGGGAAATGCCAGTCCCTGTGACAGTCATGGACTTGGTACCACGTCCCACTTTCCGATCTTCCTCTTCCTCTTCCTCCTTTTCCTTCTCTTTCTCTTCTTCCTCTTCCTCTTCTTCCTCCTCCTCCTCTTCCTATTCCTCTTCTTCCTCTTCCTCTTCCTCTTCTTCCTCTTCTTCTTCCTCTTCTTCTTCTTCTTCCTCTTCTTCCTCTTCCTCTTCTTCTTCCTCTTCCTCTCCTCCTCTTCCCTCCACCCTCCTCCTCCTTTCTTCTTGGTATATTTCAGAGGCAGGGAGAGGGAGGGAGAGAGAAACATCAATGATGAGAGAGAATCATGGGATCAGCTGCCTCCTGCACGCCCTACACTATGGGATCGAGCCTGCAACCTGGGCATGTACCCTGACAAGGAATCGAACCATGACCTCCTCGTTCACAGATTAATAGTTCAACCAATGAGCCACGCAGGCCGGA